TCATTCCAACAGCCCCACGTCCCTCTTACGGTGGGGACACCGGAGCTGGATGCACCATTCGAGGTGGGGTCTCACCAGAGCAGAGCAAAGATGAACGCGAAGAACGTGGAACATTCCTCGCTTGGGGAGAAGGGAAACGGGGCTTGGGACGAGGCGAGAGGGAAGCGGGAGAAATGACAGGCACCCACGTCATGCGCATTTCTTTATTTTCGTTTTTTTCCTACAGTTAAACGCAGCTGTAGCCGTGCTGGCCGCACTAAACAGGGGGGCAGGACTAAAGAGGGGACAGGGCTCATCTACAGGTTTATTTACAAACAGTTAAAGAGCAAATACAGCTCTAAATAGCAGAACGAGGAGCTTTCGAGTAACCATTTCCTCTTTATCCAGCCCAGGCGCGCTCCTGCCGTCCGTCGTTCGCCCGCCCTCGGCCCCGAGCCGAGCTCTGGAGAGAAGCTCTCAAGGGGGGGGACACGAAAAAAAAAGAAAAAAAAAAACCCAAACAAGAACACCCAACCCTGATTTCCCCTGCCTGAGGTTGGTTCCCAAGGGGGACTCGTGGCTTCAAAAAAAACTCCTGGCTTGATGAATTCGAGAAGGATGGACCCCAAGGGGCTTCATGTTAATTTTGGGGGCCGAAGGGCGTGCTCTTTGGTGTCAAACCGCTCCTGACCTCGTTCGTTAGACGCTGCTTTTCACACAAGAGAGCAGGGTTTTCTTTCTTTTTTTCTTAAAAAAAAAAAAAAAAGAGGAAATGGCCCCGAAAGGGAGCAGGAAGTTCAGCATCAGCCCCTTCCTAGTTTGGGCTTGAAAATAGAAAAAAAAAAAAAAAAAAGGAAAAAAAAAAGTGGGGTCCGGGTAAGTTTTCTTTGTTTTGGTTTGTTGGTTTTGGTTATTATTTTTATTTTGGTTAATCCTTTTGGCTCTGCTCAGCAGAACGGCGATGTGAAAGTGAAGTCCTTTCCTCTTCTAGCGGGGAGGAAGAAAGGAGAGGGGGGTTAAGGCCGTGCTGGGGAGACGCGGGGGGCGCTACCGACGCAACTTTGCATCCCAACGGGAAAATAATCATCGACT